TTTGCGTGGCAGGCGTGCCAGTTATGGCATACCTTCGTTTTGCGTGGCAGGCGTGGCACTTATGTGACTAGGTGGCGCGCTTGGTCCGGGTTTGTCGCCTGTGACGCCGCTGCCCTTTGTGTGGCAGGCGTGGCACTTGGTGACATCCACCTTCATTTCACATGGCAGGCGTGGCACAAACTCACATCCACCTTCGTTTTGCGTGGCAGGCGTGGCACTTATGGGACTAGGTGGCGCGCTTGGTCCGGATTTGTCGCCTGTGACGCCGCGGCCCTTTGCGTGGCAGGCGTGGCACTTGGTGACATCCCCCCTCGTTTCACGTGGCAGGCGTGGCACAAAACTCGCATCCACCGTCGTTTTGCGTGGCAGGCGTGGCACTCATGGTACTGGGTGGCGCGCTTGGTCCGGATTTGTCGCCTGTGACGCCGCGGCACTTTGCGTGGCAGGCGTGGCACTTGGTGACGTCCACCTTGATTACATGCAAGGTCGTTTTGCGTGGCAGGCGGCTCACTGATGGCACTTGGTGACATACACCTTGATTTCACGTGGCACGCGGTGGGCACAATCTCACGTCCATGACGCCAGCAGTTGATCATGACTATTTACCAGGTATGATTACCAGCCACAGGGCATGCAGAAAGAGTTCGCAAAATTTGCGGCTTCGCCCGAAAGAGTGCAGAACATTACTTTGGTCAGCGGAAGTATGGAGAGCACACCATCGCTTTGATAGAGGGCTCTGCCATAAAAGCTCTGTCGGGAAGCAACGTCGGGGAAAAAACCATCAGAGCCTGGTGGAACTCGAAGAAGGCGAGTGAGACACGTCGTGAGACCTAGTGTTCAGCACACACCCTTGGATCCCACAAAGAATTTCCGTGGTAAGCATATCTTGTTTCTTTTCTGGCCTTCAGTGACAAGTCACTATCTAGTGGAAGAAACACCACCAGACGCGCAACTTTGTCACACACATACACATACATACATTCATACATACATACATACATACATACGTACGTACGTACGTATGTACATACAGACATACATACGTACGTACGTACGTACATATATATATATATACATACATACGTACATGCATACTATCTTTTCACATACTTTCACACACAGTCTTTCACCACCTCCTTTGTCTTTCCTTCCTTCTCCGACCCCGCTACAACCTTTGAAACTCATTATTGGAAGAAGTTGACTTGTGGGGTTATCCGGTCCTTTATTTTTTTTCTTATACATCCATGTTACCATGATGTTACCATGATGTTACCATGATGTTACCATGATGTTACCATGATGTTACCATGATGTTACCATATGATTTTACTATGATTTACCAACATCTGTGGACCGCACCTCCCGAAACGTGGCCAATCCCGAGCCACGGAACATGGCACCCCACTCCTGCGCAAATGAGTTCTGGCGGGAGACCCCGGGATAGTCTAGGGGTTATGGTGGATACAAATGTACATATGTATATATATATATATATGTATATATAGACATAAATAAATATATATATATATATATCTATATATATATATGTGTGTGGATAAAACAAATTATGTATATATACAATTATATATATGTATAAGTATATAGATATGTATACTTAAGTATATATATATAATTGTATATATAAAGGTAGTTAAGGTAGTTGAGGTCGGTACCTAAGCTAGTTGGGCTAGTTAAGTTAGTCAAGGCAGTCAAGGTAGTCAAGGTAGTCAATGTAGCTAAGGTAGTTAAGGTAGTTCAGGTGGTAGTTAAGGTAGTTAAGGTAGTGAAGGTAGCGAAGGTAGTTAAGGTAGTGAAGGTATTTGAGGTAGTTAAGGTAGTTAAGGTAGGGAAGGTAATGAAGGTAGTTAAGGTAGTTCAGGTAGTTGAGGTAGCTGAGGCAGTTAAGGTAGTGAAGGTAGTGAAGGTATTTGAGGTAGTAAAGGTAGTTAAGGTAGTGAAGGTATTTGAGGTAGTTAAGGTAGTTAAGGTAGGGAAGGTAATGAAGGCAGTTAAGGTAGTTCAGGTAGTTGAGGTAGCTGAAGCAGTTAAGGTAGTTAAGGTAGTTAAGGTAGTGAAGGTTCAGTTCACCAAAATACGTTCACTGTTGGGTTGGTGATGATGAAATAACCCGGAAGTTAGATAGGGAAAACGGTGCACCCACACACCTGCAGGACTTGTGGCCTGTTGGACTGTCCATGAAGAGGCTCTGGGGTATTTGGGACTGATGTTACTGCTTGAAGTTAAGACCATACTTAAAACTTTCAACCACCCTGGAGTATCCATCTGTCACTCTGGCACCTTGGGTTTAAATAATCCCAGCGAAGATCCCAGCGACCTGGGGGCCAATCTTCTGGTTCACATTCAGATCGAGAACCCGAAAGGCATCAGCCAAGCACTGATGTTTGCCCAGCAACCTATCCGGCAACAGGCACATCATTCGGTAGTGGGAGCCATTTTTGGAGGCCTCAAATGGATGTGGATGCGGTCAATCATCACATGTTCCATAACTTGTATGGTATCTCTTTCAGAATGTTGAAGCTATGGCCTGGCATCTGAATTCCCTTTTGAGTATGAAGTTCTTCCTTGGCGGGTACGGGTGTAACACCGATGATCCTGAAACGCAGCCATTTCCATCGATGTTTGGCACAATCCAGTGGCATGAAGTACCTTTTGACAAGAATGGCTGTTGCCATGAAATAGACTGTTGCTCACCTGAGCAAAAACCATGTCCCTCCAACAATGCTGGCGTCGCATTGGCAGAAAACAAGGAGATCAATCGCTACACAGTTGGTCTGGTTGCTGGTTCCAGCCCCCAAAGTAATGATCACATGATACCATAAAAATTGGGATGAGAAGGAAGCACATATGGGTTTGATTCAATCCTGGAAAAAAACATATACTGTCAGCAACAACTCAAAAAAAAACATTAATATATGTAATATACAGTATATATATATATATGTATAATTTATATGTTGGCGGGTCTCGAACTTCAATCACCAAGAATCTTTCTGAGGGCAGCAGGAAATCTGTATTTTTGATGTCTCGAGTTTTGAAGAATCGAGCAGGGACTCAACTAACTCTGCGCTTGGTGGAAGTGAATCCTTCACCCCAATACTAAACCTCCCCTCCCATCTGGGGGAAGAAGGGATTCATCAACTGCACCTCTTGCGGAAACTTCGAAGCGAAAAGTTACCTGGGACCGGTGCTTCACCGGGGTCCTAAAAATGGAGATATTCTGGGGATATTTCATGGGCGAATCATGTAGAAAGAGTTGGAAATGGGGATTTGATGATGATTTGTCCCCCGCTAGTCAAACATTGCCAGCTGGAAAATCTCTACATTGGAAATTTCTTCAATGCCAAAATCAACCAGCTAGATTTACAATTTCCGACTGCAATGTTTGATTACAAGAGCATATCCTAAAATCATCCAAAACTTGGATTAGATGTGCAACCCCTAAATAAAATCCAATTATCTCCGCTGCCCTTTCTATTTAATGGCCAATACGACTCATGGTTTTAGGGTGCGATAGCCGGACCAACTTTGTCAGAAAGGGATTGGATCAGGGCTGGGTACATCACCGTTGAGATTTAGGCTGGCAAACTCTCATTTTTTGTTGGCCAGCATCACATTTTTGGGGTAAAATGTAAACTGCCATGGGTACATCATTTCCCAAACTCATTTGCCAAACATTCCATTTTTGGATCCAATTTTGCATCGTCCTGGCTTCGTCCACGACGCCCTCATGATTACTAGGGATGATCACAGTGTCACCAAGATATTGCTGGAGAGGTCTAGCAACGCCCAAATAATGTAGCATCCAACGAAACTGGTTGCCATAAATGGGCCTATAAATGTTAGATCCAAATATGTTATATGGCAACCCCCGAAATAATGTGTATATAAAGAGTGTCCTTTCTATTTTTTTTGGTGGGTTTGGAAATTAACGTGATAAAGCAAAAAAACATTGCCTCAGTCTACCATTTTGGGCGTTCTCCTACCTCGAAAACATGCGGTTCTTCAGGTTGCCATTGAGAATTCACTAGAAGGATGTCAATGTTTAGTGGATTTTGACAAACATTGTTTCTTGACATGCCCGTCTGATTCTGTTGAAGTACAACATACGTATGATGCTTCAACAAAGAGCAACAATGGCTTTGCTAAGCCCCGATCTGCAGCATTTGGATGAAATGTGAAAGCCAGGAAAGACTACATGAACATGCATACTCCCCCCAGTTAGGTCACCTCGCAAGAAATGTGAGTCATATCTTGTTTATTTTTTGTCTATTTGGAGGTTTCCATAAACAGGGGTACCCCCAAATGGATGGTTTACAATGGAAAATCCCATTAACATGGATGATTTAGGGATACCCCCAGTTCAGGAAACCTCCATTCAATTCCATCAGCCCTTCTGAATGGGGCAAAGCATGAAACCATTTTGCCTTCTGGCAATCTGCTAGGAGCTGTGCCATGATCGCTGCATCGTTGGAACCGTGGAATGTTTTTTGGGGAGCCTTAAAGATACTCCTCAAACAGGTAAGTTTGGTGAGATATGAAGCACAATGCTATATATATATATATATATATGTGTGTGTGTGTGTCTCCCTGTGGATCCAAACACCTCTTGAAAAGGTACTGCGAACCCCCCCAGTCATCGTACCACAGTCTCACTTCCTAAGAAGGTATTTGGATCCATAGTGTAAAATAAATAAATAAATAAATATATATATATATCATTATATCATTATATATATATTTATATATCATTATATATATATATTATTATATCTATACACACCATTACATATATATATATATATACAAAATTAAATGTATTTATATGTATATTTTTTACATATGTATACATATATATATATATATATGTATAAATATATATATATATATCATTGTGTAAATATATATATATCATTGTATAAATAAATAAATAAATATATATATATATGTACATATATATCGTTGTATATATATATATATATAAATCATTGTATATATATATATCACTGTATATATATATATATATATCATTGTATATATATATATATATTTATATATATATATATATCATTATATAAAAAATATATCATTATATTTTATTGAAATATCATTATATATATATATATCAATATTTATATATATATATATATATCAATATATATTTATATATATATATATATCATATATTTTTATATATATATCATATTTATATATATATATATATCATATATTTATATATATATATCATATATACATATATATCATTATATATCATTTCAGGAAAACTCACCACACCAGTTAATTGACTAAAGCAAACATTCACCTTCCATCCGATTCCATCCCATGGTCCTGCATGCTATCCCCAAGGGTTGTCTTCATTAGAATCATATGCAAGTCTTGATTGGTGAAATCATGTTAATTCCTTTCTATTTCTGACGGTTAAATCAACATTTTGCTAGATAACTTTGCGTTTTTTTGATGGTTCAATTCGCATCTTTGTTTACTAGATCCCCATTTTTCTTGGTTAAATCCCTATATTTTGGATGGTTCAATTCGCACCATTTCGGCTCTTTCAAACCCGAGATTTATGGAAAACCGCCCAGTGACATTCATCGTTCAGCGGCGCGGTCACTTGTTTTCGATGTGACTTTAACTTTCGAATCTCCGCTCTCTCCTGCGGCTTTGGTGCACATTTCAGTGATATATAAACTTTACACAGTTATGGCCATTTATTAGTTACAATTGGTTATAAATGGGACTATACATTCTATAAATGGGGTTATAAGTACTTACAACTGGTAAAGGGCCATAACTGCAGGAGTTATGAGTTATACACCCACTTTTAACAGTGAAGGGCTATAACTGTAGGGGTTGCCCTCCGGTAATTTAACACATGTATGGGAAATAGCATTTTAATAGCTAATGATAGGTATACCCGATTTGTAGGTACAACACTTGGGGCCATTTATCCAATAGGTGATATCTTCTGATGGTATGATAGGGAATAACTTATGATAGGGCTTCTATGGGTCATCATTCATATTTAGATATATTTAGGGGATCCCATATATCATGATACGGCTGTGTTACCCTGGTAAACACCAACATAGTTTGTAAAAATGCTGTTCATCCCCAAACATATAGCACTGTAGGTATTGATCCATAGCCATAGAGTGGGGTTGAAATGGATATAACTAAAAAACGAATTTAAGTATAGAACATTGGGAGTTGATTAACGTCAGTGATTTAAACATCAACAAGGTAGTTATAATGATGTGGATAAGGGTTTGAAATGGAAAATCCAATCTTACATATTCCCAATTAAGGGAATATGAACCATCGATAATGGGTGTATACTGGTTCTTCAATCCATTTACCTGTCTATCATGTGGTTCTTCAAAACTCTTAGCTCCCCATTGCGAATAGAGAATATGGATACTTCCGCATCGCGTTGCGAACCGGAGATGGTTTGTGTGTTGACCGAAATTGTGGCATACTTTTGTTGTATTTGAACTGTAGACACTCAACATATTTGCCACAACATATGGTTAAATATTGCATTTTAACAATTTTTTTAACTGTCACCCAAATGGCAATTATCATAGGAAGCATGATATTCAAGCATCAAAGTACCCGGGTAGCCCAGTGTGAAACAACCCCATGGCCAGGGGTTACCCTCCAATGAAACATCACCTGGCAGTGGAACATCATCCGTTTTTTCATTATATTATATTAACCAATGGAAAACCCACCAACCTTTACACTATTATCCTGTATCTTTGCAAAGGTTGGGGGGTTTTCCATTGCCGTGTCACCAGTGTCACCAGCTAGTTTTGGGGAACATCTTCAGGAAACCAAACTTGACCCCCATCAGAATTTCCACAACCAAAAATAGACGGGGAATTCTACAACCAAGTCTTGACCAAGGGAACATCACCGGGGATAATCATACTGGGTGAGTTTAAGGTCTACAGGAAACCGTGATGAACTCCCAAATTGAAAGGTTTCCTGCAGTTTTTTTCCATTCATAAATTTCTGGGATAGTCCCCCCGAGAAAAGATGATCGAAAAAAGCAGAGGCAGCTGGTTTACTCCAGGCTATGGTTGCACCATCTAGTGGCATTGAAATGAGGAACATGATGATCATGGGACTTTTTGGGTATTCCCCAGGAATTTTCAAACCAATCCCCTTTGCTTGGGAGGAAAACCGTCATGGCAGGAATGGAACCCCGAAGACTTCACTAATCTTTGTGTGGCCAATCTTGCATCATTCCCCTGATTGTTCTTCGGTCCTTTAGCTGACTAGTCATGTTATAGCAAAGCAAGCCAATGACATAAACCACCAATGTCCTTTAGCATGCTTTATAACACCCATGGTCAATTTGGGGATGGCGAATCCGATTGCATTGATATATACCTGTTAATCCCGATCCGAACACCTCCTGAGAAGGTACAGCTGACCCTCCAGTCATCATACCCAAAACGCTTCCTAAGAAGGTATATAGGGAATCATAACACAATATTTTGTGAAGTACTATGCAGTACTAAACTATTCCGCGATTTGGGAAATAAGTGGAATCGCCTGAACTCTGATCTGGTAAAAGCCATTCAAAAAAAGTTAACCCTAAATTGGCCAACATGTGGCAAACTAACATATGTGGAAAACCCAGTCATTTGTACTCCATTATTCCTGAGGAAACCGTGGGTTTTCCCCATGACTCTTAGCTTATCTTAAGGGAAAACCCGAGCAAACTGAAGGAACTTGCTGCCGCCTTGTTGATCTGCTCGGTAATTTCCCCGATCTTGCCTCTCCGGTTTTATGAAACTGAAACAATCACCGTTCAATGGCCTTTGATCGAAAGGTCACCAAGATGATTTTACTTTATGGTTTTTGCAGTCAGCGATTGGTTGAATCCCTTAACATTGGGATTCAACCTGAATATACATAATGTATGTATATATATATGGTTGGTGGTTGAACTACCCCTCTGAAAAATGATGGAGTTCGTCAGTTGGGAATCCCAACTGAATGGAAAGTCAAAAAAGTCATATTCCAAACCACCAAGCAGTTTAGTTTTTGCAGTGATCTGACAGGTGATTGGAAGATGATGCAGCGTTTCAAATCTTCGGGCCTGTGAAAATAGGAGGCTCGCATTTCCACGGGTTTGTCATCCTGTTACCATAAATAAATAGCCATAGCTTGGGGGATATACCATCTGGTTTTTTAACATAGCCATGGAAAATGGCCCATTTATAGATGGTTTACCTATTTAAAATGGTGATTTTCTATAGTTATGTTAGTTTACCAGAGGGTAACCATTTTCAAAAAATCTATGTGGAACATTATTTTTTGGGTGCAGAAATTGAAGACGCTTCAAGATGAATCAGTGTCTTTCATGTTCGATGTGCCTATTTGTCTTGCCCCGTGCTCCCCACAACGCCAGTCGGAACGCCAGATCAAAGGCTTCGACCCCCTTTTCATGGGGACTTTCAGGGTGATCCTAGTCCGCTGGTTCTCCTGCAGGCTGGTTCCTCATTTGTTCAATTGTGTACACTTGAATTTTCAATCGAACAACAGGACATTCCAAACAATCCCAAGGCGATGCTGTTGACCAGTAAATATATATATATATATAAATATCAGTCGTATATATATATATAGATAAATATCAATCGTATAAATATCGATACTCAAAAACATATATGTATATATAAATACATACATATATATATATGTATACATATTTAACATTCGATACAATTCCTACTAATTCCTTCTGATTTTGACACACATAGTTGTCTTCTCTTGGTAAGATCAACATTCATGGTATTGTATATTGAATTATTAACATATTTTTCAAGATCCACAAGTATGATACGTGTTGATGTCCATAATTCATAGATTCTCCAACTACCCTCCGGTAATCAAACGTGGCAATTGGAAATCCCGATCAAAAATGGCGGTTTATAGCTGGGACAGTCCTTGAACTAAATGGAGGATTTCCCGTAAAAATTGCATGCACCCAAATCACCACCACAGTCTCAGCAAGAGTACCCACGATTCTTTCGCGTGTTAATCATTAATTAGAATTAGGTATATAATAGATAAATCTCCAAATATAAGTAGCATATGTATATCATGAGTGGCGGACAAAATTACTTGCCACTCGCAATGGACATGGCCAAAGTGGGTGGTCCCCTATCAGTTGTGAAGGTTCTCACACAAATTTGAACATCCCAAGTCCACTCCCTACTACTTTAGTTTTTTTGCTAACTTTGTTGGTTACTCAATAAATACATATATATATAATTTATATATATATATATAGTTTATTTATATATATACACATGTATATATATATATGTCTAAATAAATATGTATATATAAATATATATATATATATTAAATATTATATACCCAAGTTACCCCAGAGACCAGCCAAGCTGCTCACCAAGAAGGCCGCGTTTTTCATCCGGTGGAAGACCACTCGATCCGCGTCCTTGCCCGATGCGTTGCTGTCCCACACCTCACCCGCCAAGCCTTGGCGCGAATGTCGGCGCGAGCTTGGAGAGCCACGATAAAAACAACCGATTTAATGGGTTTTTTAAGGATTTTATGAGATTAAATGGGATTTAAATGGGGGTATATGTATGTATACACACATGTATCGGGATTTGATGAAATTAAATGGGATTTCATTGGGATTTGTGACGATTTCATGGGATTTAATAGGATTTAACCTCGTGTAATCAAACATATATGATAGGGATATGCGGGAAAAGTCATCCATAAATGAGGACATACGATAATATCATGGGAATATGTGTATATATATATAGACATATGTATGTATATGTGTATATATATATATATATGATTATATATAATTATATATATATACATATACAATGTCTAACATAGCACTGGAAAATAATGGCATGTACACTCCAGTAAACCAAGATAGATATGGGCCTGTCAGAGAATGGGTAGACCTTGCAATAGCAATTTCAAAAGGAAAACTTGTTATTGAGTCATGGATTTAGGGCTACAGTACATCATATTAGATTTGAAAAAACAAACCCATATGGTGAAATTTCGCCAGGGAAGCCGATGTATTTCCTCAGCTATGCTAGGCTACTGGAGGGTAATTTTCAATTCCCTGCCATGAATTCTGTAGAATCCATCATCACTCACCTGCGAGGGAGGTGAAAAAGTGACATGTTTGAAAGCGACTAACACATAAGAACCACCCTCTGGTAAACGTTTACATAGCTATGGAAAGTCACTACAGCTTGAGTATTGTACAAGAATTCACTGTATAAGAATTTGAGGGGCTCGAATCCAAGGCGGGCTACATATTTTCAGTTGTACTAAACACATAGGACTTTAAGAATTTGAGGGACCCTGGAATAGGATTGCCAAATTCTTAAGTTACTCCTTATAGGTGAGGTTTGCAATTCCCCTTTGCGTTTCTTTTTTTTTGCGGCGTGATCCCTTATATGGTCTTATGGGATGAAGTCGGGTTTTGCAGAAAAACAACTTTTCAGGCTCGTTTTTTTTCGCGCATGCTTGGACTGCTTCCAATCCACACAAAATCAATATTCGGGTAGGCTTGGGGACCTGAAATATTGTTTTCTTTAATAACTTATATAACTTGAAGAAAACTGAGGCTTTGCAGAAAATCAATTTTTCAAGCTCCGAAAAATTGTTTATTCCGCGCATGCTTGGAGTGCTTCCAGTTCGGACCTGGAACATTGTTTACCAGAAAACTCGGTCCAAAGGACAATGGCGGGAATCGAGCGGCGGCCCCAGATCCTTAGCCTGATGCGCTACCAACTGAGCTATGGGATCTTGGCTTCTTTTCCCATAAACAAGGCAATCAACAACAAGACTAGCTAGAGTAAGCAACAAAGTTTACGGAAGCAGCGCTCTGCAAAAAAACATTTTTTTCGCATGCCGCTTGTCAAATCTGCCAACTCCACCTTGTTACCTCACTTTTGCTTGCTCCAAATTATGCAGATGCCTGCAATACAAAACTAAGAATGCCCTAAGAATTTGAGGGACCCTCAGCCTGTTGTGGTGTAAATTTGCCTGCATTTAAAAATAAGAATTTAAGGGACCCTGGGCCTCAAGCTTTCGGATTCTTCACCAGCGCTCGGGCTGTATTTTAAAATGGGTAAATCTATTATAAATGGCAATTTTCAATAGCTATGTTAGTTTACCAGAGGGTACCCAGAACCATGGTACAGAGGAGATATCCCCTTACCTTTCTGGATTCAAGCATCGTATTGAGAACATGATCTGGTGACTTCAAGACCTATGGACGAACCCATCCGTGGGTAGTTGTTTTCTGATTCCTAGCTCTTCTTTTGACATGGTCTACGAGTCCAAAGGAAGTCCTATAGGATAGAACTGAACATTGCAGTACATTACGCCAAACAAACGAAAAGCATCCACTGACCAATCCCAGAAACATCGAACTACTGTTGATACGAATGCACCACTAACTGCCGCTAATCCATCTGGCCTTTTTGTTGCTTTTTTTATGACTTAGCTATGTGGAACCAGTGAACCAGCCTGACCAATCCCAGAAACTCGACTCCAACTTGGCAGAATTCACGAACTCTCTGACATTGCTTTTGGTTCCAGAAGCGTCCGGTGTCACATAGAGAGGTTGTCGACGTGGAAGCTGCTCACCTGGCGCGTCTGGCGGAGTCCGAGCTCCTTCAGCGGCTGACCCTTTTGGCTGTCGTCTTGGGGATGGAACATGATGGAACAAACCATAGCAATTCGTAGCAGTTGATAGCAGTCGTGTAATCCCATTTTGATCACTTACATCTCCATGTTCATTTCTCCAAGTAGGCCCACCATTTTGCCGCGGAATTTCATGGAATATATTCACCAATTCTTTGAACAGCGCCACACTTCGCAGCGCCTGGCTGTTTCACGTGGCTTCTCAAGTTCAATTCGCGCTTCCTTAAGGATTTGCTGCCTTGCAAAAAAAAGTAGAAACATCTTCACCATAGATTCCCCATTTCCATGGTCTTCCCATGGGGAAAATCACAAAACAAGCAGCTCAGCAGCACAAAGCCAGGCGTCAGCAGATCTCCCATCTTCTTCACTTGCTGCGCATCAGCTGTGGGCCAGATCTTCTTGAGAGATTGATCCAGGGCTGTTCTCCTGTCAGACGTTGGACGTGATAAATCACCAGTCGCCACAAGCATGAAAAACCAACGAACTTGAGTGACTAAAATGAACATCAGCATCTTTAAACAACAAAAAATTCATCTGAACTCAACGGCACAAGCCTTCCAGTTCACAGAACAAAGTGAACTGCGATTTTTGTTACCAGAGGGACCCGGAGGGTATATCCCCAATATTCCCATGATTATTTCCAGTACTGGTTAAATCCCCATCATATCAATCCCAAGTTTGCCATATCGTGGACGGTTCAGATTCCAAGTCGCGGGGATTGCAATGGACGGCGCTCCGGCTTCGGCTCCTTCCCGTTGCCTGGAGCGCGGATCGACCGGAGGACTGCTGCAAGTCCCAACGAAAACCGAAAGTCATTTGGAAGAGACCCCAAAAGTTGAACTAAAACTTTCATTCCAAGAAAATTGGAAAAATATTTTTTCCCCACCTGCCAGGTGAGGGTTGTTAGATTTTATCAGAGCTGTTCTCCTCCTCCTCCGCCTCCGCATCCTCCTCCTCCTCCTCGTCCTCCTCCGCCTCCTCCTCGCAGTCCAGATCCCAGTGGGCACAGCCGGACCTCAACCGCGAGCTCCAGATCTCAACCGCGAGTTGCAGATCGCAGTGGGCACTGCCGGACCCTCAACCGCGACTTCCAGGTCGCAGTGGGCACTGCCGGACCTCAACCGCGACCTCCAGATCCCAGTGGGCACTGCCGGACCTCAACCGCGAGCTCCAGATCCCAGTGGGCACTGCCGGACCTCAACCGCGACTTCCAGATCGCAGTGGGCACTGCCGGACCTCAACCGCGACTTCCAGATCGCAGTGGGCACTGCCGGACCTCAACGGGAAGAAAAGATGTCAGATAGAATGTCAGAAGATATGCCAGATAGAATGCCAGAAAGAATGTCAGAAAGAATGTCAGAAGAGATCAGAAGATATGCCAGAAACAATGTCAGAAGATATGTCAGATAGAATGTCAGAAGATATGCCAGATAGAATGCCAGAAAAAATGTCAGAAGATATGCCAGATAAAATGTCAGATAGAATGCCAGAAGATATGCCAGAACATATGCCAGATAGAATGCCAGAAGATATGCCAGAACATATGCCGGAAGATATGCCAGATAGAATGCCAGAAGATATGCCAGAAGATATGCCAGAACATATGCCAGAACATATGCCAGAAGATATGCCAGATAGAATGCCAGAAGATATGTCAGATAGAATGCCAGAAGATTGCCAGTAAGAAAATGTATAGATGTCATGGTGGGGATCATTCGAAGTGAAGTAATTGATGATCATTTGACCCCAAAAATACCCAAAAGATTCCTGCCAGTATGTATTCAATTTTCCTCTCCTATGATTTCACCATGTTTCTGAATCTTGGGCTTTGTCAGGGCATCAGCCAGTACGTAACCATAAAGATTGGTTGGTTGGACAGAACCAACAAACGCATCAGAGCAGGATTTTCAGGAGCTACTATAATTACATTTTTTTCGCCATATTGGCGATATAGGCCTCAAACTCCAATCCGATGACGTGGTGCTTCCACCTTTGTTTTCAGCTTCCCTGTATACTCCAGGCGATACGAACAGTTGGTTTTCCAAACCAGGAGTTGTCCCGATGGGGGGGGGCTCTAAGGCCCTAATGGTGATGTGAAAATTTGTAAACCCAATGAACGAGCACTAGTTCGGTATTAGATGTTATTTGCATAAACCATAGTGAACTGGATGTATGTACCAACTTGTCGCGATTTGGCCCGAGGGCACATTGTGATCCAAGTTGTTGCTGAGAAGCTACGAACGCCCCAGAAGCTACGGCTCCATAGGGGGCATATGGGGACATGATATGTAAAATAAAATCATAAGAACTGTATATTTAAAACAAAAAAACAGTATTATAAAAAAACACTTTCCTATCATCAACAAAGGCCAGTGATTTTGCAACTGCTCAAATCTGCAATGCCATCTTGTTATTGCTATCATTCCATTATGCTGGCTTGCAAGGGGATTCCAAACATGGGCTAGCTCCTAATCCCCACAAAGGTAGGTCATAGTTTAATAATTACCCCTATCTCCCCTATCATGATCTGCCAAGCGAGGTTGTTTGGGCCATGCTCAAATGAAACCACTACGGTAAAGCCATTTTTGTTGGTCTATATCCCAATGAATATCGCCCAGATTATCTTCTTAACCCCAAACCGTGACTGTCTTCCAGTTCTGGTTTTCTTCATTCTCCAAAAAGAACAATGAAACCACATCAATTGGCCCATTTCAATAGCTGGTTTCCCCCTCATAAAACCACAATAAATGCTGCTGGTAAGGATGGCTTGGCTGCCCCTTCTTCCAAGGACGTCCGCTGGGAAAAATCTGACCAGATAGTGCCTATATTGAAACCAGCAACTTCATAAGCCGTAGATCGAATCGAGGCTCTCAAGGAAGATATGTTTATTCTCAAGTCTTAATCCTGTGACACCTTGCTATCTATCTATAAATATATATAAATGTATACATATATATATATGTAAAATGTATGTATATATGTAAATATATATATATGTATTTATATATATGTAAATAAATATATATATAAGTATTTATATATATATATATATATGTAAATACATACATATATATATATACACATATGTGTATATATATATATGTATACATATGTAAATATAAAAACATATATGTACAGATACATATATATATATGTGTGTGTATGTATATATATATATATATATATTTGTATATATATATATGTATATATATATATGTATATATATATGTATATATATGTATATATATATATGTGTATATATATATGTATATATATATATGTATACATATATATATATATATATACGGATGTTTCCTAAAGTGGGGTGCCCGCAAATCATCGGTTGCAATGGTTGTTTTCATATGTTTTCATCACATTCAGCATCCAGCTATTGGGTTCCCGCCAAGTGACTCTCAACCCGTTCCATCCTCATCGTCTTGAAGGAGCTACTGAAGCTCCGTCGCATGGCCGGCGACGTCCGGAGTGATTCACCGTCGTTCAGGCTGGGAAGAAGCGGCAAGGTGTTGCACGCGGACATTTGAAATGCCAACCTGGTGGCGGAGAAAAAGGAAATCCCCCAGGTTTTTTCCAAATTGATCGAGAAATACCATGGTGTATTATGAATGATAAATGGAAAAACCATCTGAACATCGATACAAATGGTGATTTCCAATTATCCTTCAGTCATGGAGATGTTAGCAAACCAAAAACATGGTTGCGATCGGGGTTCCCCAAGGTATAATTTGGTTCACAAAGCCAAACGTATGAAGATCCACCAGAAAATTACCCTCTGGTAATTTGTCACATAGCTGTTGTTTCGCCCATTGAAATAGTGGATCTACCCATTTAGCATGTGGATCTTGCCATAGGCCATAGTGATGTAAACGTTTTACCAGAAAATTAAGCGATTTAACCCCATAGAAAACAACTGGAGATGTCTTAAGGTTGATCTGCACTCATCCACCTTGTTGTGACGCTTGGCACCTGGAAAAGTTATTGGGTCGACAAAAACGGGAGCCATAGGGGAAGAACATGTAATATCTGTCCGGAATCATACAAACAATGTGGAGGATTTCTAAAAACCATTATTTGACCGACATAAAACCAACAAAATAAAGACCGAATGTTTTGATAAGATCACATCAAAATCGAAACAAGTGCAGAACCTGGTTCGAGGATTTCTGCAAAGCTGCCGAGTCTGACTGGACCACAAGTCTTCCAATTGAACTTAAAGCAAAATTAAGCAACCAAATCAGGAAAACATATCTATACAAGGTGGTGCAGTTCCAGCTATAGGATGGAAGTCGCTTGATAAAGCCATACTTACCTGGGCGTATATCCCAGCTCTTGTGGCTTACCATAGTTATATTGCAACCCACAAGTACGAAAAAACAATGACTCGCCGGGTGCCGGGGCCGAAGGCACATCTTATCGCTCTTCCCCCGCTGACGTCGGTAGCTGCTTCCGACCCGCGCCATGGCGCTAGGGTTGGAGGGAAAGAGCACGCGCAAGATGCGATGCACCGCTTCTTCCGTCATCTCCAGGTCTGTCAATGCTTGCCTTACGACGAGAATGGGGCCGGGAAACTATGCAGAGCTATCTGTCAAAGGAAGCATCTGTCAAATGGGCGCATGGTATAATCTACAACTACAGCGCTGTATATAGAATGATATATGAACAACATTGATATACATATATATGTATATATCATATATATATATATATAGATATATCATATACCACATATATATATAGATATATCATATATCATATATATATATAAATAAATAAAACATATATATATATATATATGTATATATATATATATCATATATGTATATATCATATATCAGATATAATATATCATAAGTCATACATCATTATAGTATGATGGTAAAATATACGTTATATAATGATGTGTCCCATAGTTAGCTAAGTTGGTTTATAATTAATGCACGGTTGACGAGGTCGACACTTCGGAACCGCCCTGCAGGGTATCATGGCACCTGACCCCATTGGTGATTCGCAGAAAAGGGCCATGTTTACAGTGTGGAAGATATGTCCAGTTGTCCACTGAATCCACTTAATCCATATTGATTTGGTGATGGTGAATCTTTTACTTACCATCTGGTTATTTAACATAGCCATGGAAAATCAACATTTTTAATAGGGAAACCGTCTACAAATGGGCCATTTTCCATGGCTATGTTCAATAAATAGCCAGAGGGTAATCCATCTTTAATTTTCGGTATTTTCTTTTCAGATTTGATTTTGTGATTTTGGGGGATGCCTGGGATGCCTCGACATCCGCAACGACGCAACTCCAGACGTCCAAAGGTCATCCTCGTGGTTTTGTTTGGGGGATCCAAGCTGCTTGTTCACGAGAATGGCCAGTCTCCTTTTCTGTCCCTTTGGACCTCAGTGACCCGGATTACTCAAGCCAAACTGATTCGTTAATTGATGCTAATCGGTTAGTTCTCAGAATATTTCACTGTTAATGATATGAGCCCATAGCTTTGCAAAAGTACCCACCTCTGCAAACGTGGCTAACTAGCTACAACAACACTTCCTCAAATCAATTCAAACCTTCGTTGTCCCCATGACCAATCTTCAACACCATCCTGAGTCTTCTCAGTGGATGCCTCCTTGCTACAGCAATCATCCCTGAAATTAGCAATCCCTGGTCATTTCTGTGGCAAGACTTCGAATGTTACTTTTCAAATTCCCGCTCCAGCTCAAAGGTACGTGTCTCCCTCAAAAAAAAATGTTTTGCCCTAGATTTAGTATATTATATGGTTGGGATTGCATAGGTATATATATGATGAAGCTCAGAGGCTCAAAGCTACCTTGCTGGCTCACTGCCTCCTTGCTAGCTCAAACCTACCTTGCTGGCTCAGTGACACGTAGCTGGCTCAATGCTTCGTTGCTGGCTCAGCGCCTCGTAGCTGCCTCAGCGCCTCGTAGCTGGCTCAATTTTTTCAACGAAAAAAAAACGGAAAAAAAACATTGAAAAAAATGAGCCAGCTACATGCCCTTGAGCCAGCTCGATGTCCCGTCATCAACCCGGCCAATACATAGTAAGTATTCGTTTTGATGCTCTCACATTCGTTCGCCAGCTCAACGTGACGAAGCCGGCTCAATTTTTTCGAGTTTCTTGTTTTTTTCGTTTTTTTTCGTTGAACAAATTTAGCCAGCTCGATGCCATTGAGCTAGCTCGATGTCTCTGAGCTAGAGCGATGTGTTTGAGCTAGAGCGATGTCGCTGAGCCAGCTCGTTGCAGTTGAGCGAGCTCGCAGAAACTTCCCAATCTGTTAAATTGCCAGGTTCTGTCCCCACTGATTAGTTTAGTACTAGATATGGTACCTCTGAAAAAGCCCACGGTGACTGTCAAAGACATACCCCTGATGAAATTGAGCCAGCTATATACATGTTTTGAGCTAGCTCGAAAAAATGGAAGATTGTGGATTGCCACTTTCAAAGACTGCAGCAAGATTCTTGCTGATCATTCTTTACAACTTGCGCTTTCTTCTCAGATAATCACGACGAGTATTTTTCTTATCCATTTGTCTGCACATATCAGCAATTCGTGCGTTGCATGGGCTTCATGGGGAAGCATTTGCTTCCGCACCATGGTGCCGTCGACAAAAACAAAACAGAAGCATCAGTTCCAGACAACATGTTGTACATAGATATATAGAATATATTTATTTATTTTCCTACTTAAATAATTATAGTGGTAGATACAGTAGATGGACAAATTATTCAAACCCCTATCCATGAGTTATAGGCCACCCCCTACCTCCCCCGAATTCCAATGTTATGGTTTCGTAGCGCTGTTCCTGCTCTGGGGTTTGATTTATTTCGTCCATTCGAAGGAACGAACCAAACAAGAAAATAACATTGATATTTGGGGTGAGGGGGGTTGCTCTATGTATAAGAGTTTCAATAATTCGTCCATCTACGGTATGGGGGGTGGTGGTCAGCAGGAGTCTATAGCGAATGGTAAGCTTCACTTTTTGTTCAACATTAGCACATATTGTACGAAGATATGAATTATATAGGTGAAAGACGTGCATTGAACATTTTGAATTGGTCAACTAAGGCTCATGATGAAGATTTTGACGAAGATGACTTTTGGATGATTTTAATGATGATGTACTGAAAGATATTGCGCAAGTGCGTTTTTCTGTTTCACACCTGTGTTTGAATACCTATTTGTTTTTGTTCTTGTTCTTGCTCTTGTTCTTGCTCTTCTTCTTGTTGTTGTTGTTGTTCTTGTTGTTGTTCTTGTTGTTGTTCTTCTTGTTGTTCTTCTTGTTCTTGTTCTTCTTGTTGTTCTTCTTGTTGTTGTTCTTCTTGTTGTTCTTCTTGTTGTTCTTCTTGTTGTTGTTGTTGTTGTTGTTCCCTTTCCTGGGCGTGATTGAACATGCTGTTTTTCCAGTTCCCTTTCCCGGGCGCGATTGAAAATGCTGTGTTTTTCCAGTTCCCTTTCCCGGGTGTGATTGAAAATGCCGTGTTTTTCCAGTTCCCTTTCCCGGGCGCGATTGAAAATGCCGTGTTTTTCCAATTCCCTTTCCCGGGTGTGATCGAAAATGTTGTGTTTTTCCAATTCCTTCTCTTCAGCGTGTACGAAGAACAAAAACAAGTAGGTAGGACAAACACAGATGTGAAACAGAAAAACGCACTTGCGCAATATCTTTCAATACATCAACATTAAAATCATCCAAAAGTCATCTTCGTCAAAATCTTCATCATGAGCCTTAGTTGACCAATTCAAAATGTTCAATGCACGTCTTTCACCTAATTCATATCTTCGTACAATATGTGCTAATGTTGAACAAAAAGTGAAGCTTACCATTCGCTATAGACTCCTGCTGACCACCACCCCACAAACTGTCTCAAGCGCCTATTTTTTCCTCATCTTTTTGCAGTTTTTTCGCATACCATCCCAAGAACTCATACATTGCTTTAACAAGTGTCATCACATGTCACCATTTGTCTGAAAAAGCACGCCCAGTGACAACACCATAAAGGTGGATGATAAGGCCCACTTTCTTGTTCTTGTTCTTGTTCTTGTTGTTGTTCCCTTTCCTGGGCGTGATTGAAAATGCTGTGTTTTTCCAGTTCCCTTTCCCGGGCGCGATTGAAAATGCCGTGTTTTTCCAGTTCCCTTTCCCGGGTGTGATCGAAAATGCTGTGTTTTTTCAATTCCTTTTCTTCAGCGTGTACGAAGTGCTGTGTTTTTCCAGTTCCCTTTCTCTTTCCCAGTTCCCTTCCAGTTCCCTTCCCAGTTCCCTTCGCGGATTCGCTTTGTTTTTTCCAAGGAAAGTGCGTTGCATACTTTAAAAAAAACAAAAATGTTTTCTTTTTTTAAAGAAAAAAGTCTTAAGGGAACTGAGAAGGGAACTGGGAAGGGAACTGGAAGGGAACTGGGAAAGAGAAAGGGAACTGGAAAACACAGCACTTCGTACACGCTGAAGAAAAGGAATTGGAAAAACACAACATTTTCGATCACACCCGGGAAAGGGAACTGGAAAAACACGGCATTTTCAATCGCGCCCGGGAAAGGGAACTGGAAAAACACGGCATTTTCAATCACACCCGGGAAAGAGAACTGGAAAAACACGGCATTTTCAATCACACCCGGGAAAGGGAACTGGAAAAACACAGCATTTTCAACCACGCCCAGGAAAGGGAACAACAACATCATCAACAACAACAAGAACAAGAACAAGAACAAGAACAAGCAGGTGGGCCTTATGATCCACTTTTTTGGTGTTGTCACTGGGCGTGCTTTTTCAGACAAGTGGTGACATGTGATGACACTTGTTAAAGCAATGTATGGGTTCTTGGGATCGTATGCGAAAAAATGAAAAAGATGAGGAACAATAAACGCTTGAGACAGTATGTCAGGGATATATGCAACATGTATATATCTATATATATATATATATATACATACACCATGTATAAATATATAGTTTGTGTTCCATTTGGTATCCACATATAAAAAAAGAATGATACAGATATAGTTTATTAGTTAGCTCCTGTCTACATCTATCCTGAAGTGTCTGAACTATCCAAACCATCATCCCACAAACCAAAACATCTCTGGCATAACTCTAGTACAGCCAGATTGGTAGTATATCAGTATATCATAGTATATCAAAGTATATCATAGTAAATCATTATATCTGAATCACTTCCAAATTTCTTCCCATCCCCCCTATGGATCCCAATGGATCCCTATGGGCCTACGGCCATATTCCATCCACCCCTGAACCCCACGCCACGCCACTCGCGTCGCTCTTGGAGGCCGTCCCGCTTCCGCCGGAGGCTTCGGAGCGCGCGGTGCTCTTGGAGCGCCGCCGTTCCTCCTTCGAGGCTGTCGCGCGACGCACGGCCTCCAGCGACGGCTGCGTGAAGCGGCTGAAACAGGCCTGGCACCGTGGCACCCGGTGGCGAGGCGAAAAAAGGGTTGCGAGTTTTGGGAAGAACTGGGGGAATATTGGAACTTGAAGAAACAGCTGGGATTTAGATATTATTTTTGATAGTTGGAGTCGGAGTTCACTCAGATTGCTAGATCACTAGATCACACTAGTTGTCGGGCCACCTTGTGCCAAATGTGACTGCGGGGAAGGGTGAAACATGGTAAGAAACCATATGGAGGGAATAAGGAAGAGCAAATTGTCTCAATCTTTTTTGTCTTTCTATGTTCTATAGTCGCGGGAGAGAAAATGGCTGGAAGTGTGATTGAACATTCTTATATGGAGTCAAAAATTTCCAATGGGTCAAGAATTCTTTCTTTGATTTTTTTCTATAATTCCTTGTGGTCAAGAAAAGTTTCGAAATGGGGACTTTTGTACGAAACATCTGGGCTCCTCCCACTTCGTCCAGTTCCCACCATCGAGCCGTGAGGATGCGAGCGCTGTTGTCAGTGCTAGTTTTCTCACATCCTTCCGGGCAAAATGTTACCGCCAAGTAGCCGTCATGGATTATCAAACAAACCCTAAAAGATAACAGATTCTTTGAATTATTCTCCATATTTTATGTCAACAATGCCAAATCAAGTTGAATCTCCACCATTCATAATCATTAATCACGCTATTTTGAAACAACCCGGCCTTTTTCACAGTATTTTTGATCGTTAATTCCCTATTGTTGCTGCTTCTCAGCAGGAAATCTATCTTTTCAGTGAAATCCTCCTCCGCTGCAGCTATAGCCCTTGTCACCGTTATAACTTAACTGACTCAGAAAAACCTCATTTAAGTGTATTTTCCACTTTCCACATTATTATTTTCAGGAGTTTTCTTTTATCCCATGTCCATAACGGATATGATCCGGCCATATCGGACAGAAACCTCGCCGTCTCGCCGTCTCGCCTTTTCACTGTTGCTGAGGCCGTACAAGCCCCGTTTGCGTCGCTCCTCGCGTTCCAATTCATCTTGATCTTCGCTGTTGCGAACTGCAGCGATTAGATGGTTTGAGGGCCCGAAGACTGGTGGACTTTGGGGGTGTTTACTGTCAACCATGGTGATATATATATATATACGGTCCCGTGTCCCGTGTTCCCACCCCCCCATGGGATGGGGGGGGTATGATGCCCCTGTGGCGGTGGTATGTATGTATGTATGCATGGATGTATGTATGTATCTATCTATGCATGCATGCATGCATGCATGCATGTATGAATGCATGTATGTATGTATGTAAATTAATATCTACATA